TGGGAGAATCTCGATTTTGAAATCTGAGACCTGTTTATTAGTACGGAGCTATTTTCAATATGTATTCATTGGTTGAATTCACATATATAATTAGTTTCATATTGTTTTTTATCGATCTAATGTATTCTCTTGCTGGGCTTCTCTATTGCAGTATCGAATTGGAGGAGGAAGAAGGCGAGGTGATCTAGTTGGCTCGGAGAAAAAAGAGTTCTCGGCACTTCCGAGTTCCGGCGTTCACAAAAAAGCTCCTCAAAGCCGGAGATGGCTGGGAAACTCCTGAACATGATGGGAATACGAATGATTTTGTAGCTTAAGATGGGGAAGAAGACGACAACGCTTTGTGATTTTGAGAATGTATTTTTATTTTTTAATTATCGTATTTTTTGTAATATAGATTTTTTATCATTGTTTCATATACTAGATAATAATAAATTTGATATTTTTATTTTTAATATATCAATTTATCCCCAAAAAAGCATTAATCATAATTTAATATAATTAAAATAATTAATAAAAGTAAAATGTTATAGAAAATATAAATAACTAGAATAAATTACAGAATTATTATTATATATATACAATTATTATTAATATATGTTTTTCTTGTAGTGAAACGGTCGCAAACGAATCACAAATTGGGCCCAAATATGTAAGGTTATTACAGTCGCAAATGAGTCGCTAACGTCCGTTCGTTGCTCTTTCGTCGCAAATTTGCAACGATATTCGCCTGTCACAGATTAGTCGTTAATCTGCGACGATATATTTATAGTCGCTAAATAATCGCAAATTAGCGACTATAATGAGACAAAGAAATTTTGCGACCGTTTTTTTGCGACTAATGGAAATAGTCGTTATTCAGTTGCAAAACCCTCTTTTGCGACCGTTTAGCGACCATTTTCACAGTCGCAAATGAAGTGTTTTCTTGTGATCTTGTCGCTCTGGAATTCCTCTAAATACACTGAAAACGCAGGCCATTCGGTTAGAGAAGACACCATTTCACCAGATTAGAACAGTCTGTAAGGAACTGTACCTCTTGATTATCTGCACCAATCATACACTTCATCGCCCATAAAAGAGCCTCGAATTTTGTATGTAATAGAGATAGACTTCTACGGAGGTTGGCAGCTCCCATGGTTGGTGGTTCTCCGTTTGATGATGTACAAAACCGTCCTGCACCGGAAAACTTATCACTTTCTTTCCACGATCCATCCACAAAGCAACGGCATTCAGAATAATTCGAATCAAGTGAAACATCCCCCACTCAAGAACGAGTTACCAATTCCATAATACCATTAGTTTCATGATGAAGCTCGATTTGGGCTGACTGCCATAATTGTGCTCATTTTTCCGCTAACCGTAATACCTCTAACGGATCTTTATCAATATTTTCAAAGATTTTTTCATTTCTTGCTTTCCAAATATACCAGATTATCCATGGAAAGGCTGAAAAATCAAATTCTGAAGGTATTCTCCAAAATAAGTAGTCCAAATTCGCAAAAAAAGATTCCGTTGGAAAAATTCCCATTGCCGTAGGAATCTGGGAAAGTGCACAAACCTGTCGTGTCGGATGGCATTGAAAGAGTGTATGATTGATTGTTTCCACTGGTTCGCCACATCTGGCACAGCCTATGTAATAATCAATTCCTCTTTTCCACAAATTTTCAGTAACTGGTACACAACCCGTTATGATTTACCACAAAAGTGACGTATTTTAGGTGGACACTGCACTTGCCAAGAATGTGTTTTTAACGGTTTGATATCTGGGCCAATCAAAGATAAATTGGTCTCCAAATTTTCTAACCTTGTGGTATGATATCGTGATTTGACTGTATATTTTCCAGATTTTGTAAAATGCCAACCCAGTGTATCTTCCTTAGTTAGCGTACCCACATGTAAGGCACTTATTAGGGCGACATCTTCTGGATCAAAGATCTCCTCCAAGAGAGCAATATTCCAAAAATTCGACCGACTATCTATAAGATTGTTAACTTTTAACAATGGGTCAACACGTGAACCATTACTCTTTGCTGGTCTCGGTAATTGAGCTGGAATTCAGAGATCCTCCCAAACTGAGATGGATGTCCCCGATCCGACCCTTTTAATAAGTCTTTTATTAACCAGAGATCTAACTGAACAGATACTACGTCATCTTTATGGCGAGTATGATTTTATATTTTCCAAGGGATTGGATTTCTGAAAGTACCGCTCTTTAAACACATTCGCAAAAAGAGACTCTGGAACCGTAATCAACCGCCATAATTGTTTGGCTAATAGAGCTGAATTAGAATCGTCTACATTCTGAAAATCTAACCCTCCTTCCGATTTGCTATTGCACAACTTGTTCCAAACCATCCAGTGCATACCTCTGGAATCCCCATTTGACCTCCACCAAAATTTAGCAACCGCACTAGTAAGTTTAGAAGTGATTGTTTTTGGTAGCCTGAAGCACGACATAACATAAGTTGGTAATACTGCAGCTACCGATTTAATCATTACTTCTTTTCCACCTTTCGACAAAAATTTTTGCTGACCATCCGCGTTAATTCTTGTTTGCAATCTATCTCTGACAAAAGGGAAATTTTTTGTTTTAGATCCATCCAAACTCTCCGGCAAACCGAGATAAGAACCCATCTCACCGATATTAGTGATTCCCAAGTTAGATTTGATTTCATCCTTGATATCCTCATCTACCTTATGCCCAAACTGAATCGAGGATTTTAAAAAGTTAATCTGTTGTCCTGAGACTGCTTCATACTTCTTTAAAATCCCCAAAATTACCTCACACTGGTCCTTGTTTGCTTTACAAAAGAATAAACTATCATCCGCAAATAACAGATGTGAAACCAAAGGGCTTGCATTTGCTATCTTAATACCCGTAATTATTTTTTCCCTTTCTGCTTTCCGGATATTCGCAATTAGCACATCTATACAAAGGATGAATAAATAAGGAGATAGTGGGTCTCCTTGTCGTAATCCCCTTTCTGCTGGTACAATTAGTCCTCTAGGTTGCCCATTAAGAAGCACTCTATATTGAACTGTTGTAATACACCACATTATCCAGTCAATCCATTTCTCGTAGAACCCAATTTTCGTAGAACCTTCTCAACGAAAATCCATTCCACCCTATCATAAGCTTTACTCATATCAATTTTAATTGCCATGAATTTTCTCTTACATGACAGGTTAGTTCTCAACCCATGAAACATCTCTTGTGCAATAAGTATATTATCTGAAATCAACCGTCCTTCGACAAAAGCCAATTGTGTTTTCGAAATAAGTTTTGGTAAAACCGTTTTAAATCTTTGACAAAAAATCTTCGATATAATTTTATAGCCCACATTGCATAGACTTATCGGCCGTAATTCTGTCATCCGTGTCGGTCTTTCTGTTTTTGGAATCAGACAAATGTTTGTCGTATTTAACCGTTTGTCAAAAATTCCATCCTCTAAAAAAAATTAACCAGAACAAGAAGATCTGATTTAATTGTAATCCAAGCCTTTTGAAAAATAAGGCTGTCATGCCATCGGGCCCTGGCGATTTTTCTGGATGCATCATAAACAGAGTTGTTCTCACCTCACTCTCCGTAGCAGGTGCCGTTAGAAAATTATTAACCTGATCCGTAATCAGACTTTGTATTTCTGTCAAAAACTCCTCAAAAGCCTTGGGCTTACTTTTTTTTTTTTTTTCCTCGGGCTTACTTGTAGTAAACAAATCCTTAAAATAAAAAACCGCTATATTTTGAATATTTTTATCCTCTGCAGATCAAATCCCGTTTTTATCATGCAGCCCGGTAATCCGATTCCTTGCGCGTCTTTGTTTTGATATTTATATGAGTTGATGTTTTTTTTTAACACCACTTTTGGTCACCGCTTAAAGAAGTAACGTACGTGCATATTTGATATCCATAATTGTTTTTTTTTTTGTGCCAAATATGAAAAGGTTTGGGTAATTTACAAAACTAGCCAATTTTATTAAATTATATAAGGATATAACACTAAAATGAAAAATTAAGTAAGTGACACATTAAGAGGATGAAAGTCCACAACACTCGTTGGAGGCTTTGGACACGCGTGTGAAAGAGAAGACTGAGCTGATATGGCGAAGCTTTGAGCGGAGATGTTTACTAATACTTGAATTGCATAATATTGGACTATACTATATGATGGTGTAACGAATATATACTTAAATCTATATATACATTTTAGAGACATTTATGAAATAAATTATGGAGTTCTAACTTAATTACGACCAAATGTCATTGACATTAATTATTTAGATTTTTAAAATTAAATCAAAGATATTAACATAAAAAATAATTTCCAAAAATCTTAACCTAATATATTAAGCATAACTAAGCGTTGCCACAATTACATTCATATTCAATTCTATTTTTTTAAAAGATCTCAACAATCCCTACATTTAATCGTTGCCATTCAAATCTTAATCCGGTTTTTAATCTTCAATCTTGACCGTCGGTCATACGCAATTAATTCAGAAATCATTATATAGAATTCATTATTATTAACTAAAATTTAAAATATATATATATATATATAAAATCAAACTTTTAAATTGACTCGAATTATATGTCTATTAAATAAAATATTCTTAAAAATAACAAAATGATGTTTAATTTCACGGGACGGGGTTATATAGTGGAACGGATTTGGATCGATATTAATACGGGACGGTATTAATAGCACAGATGAAATCTTAAAATCAACAATCAAAATACAATTATGCAATCTTAAACACTTAACAAAATAAACAATATTAAAAAAAATACAATTTAATTTTTTTTTTAGTTAAAAATTCGATCCGCGGTATACCGCGGAATAAAATCTAGTATCCATAACAAACTACATTTATATTGTGATATAGTCGTATATATTGTAGATTACATATAAATTTCACACTCTTTTTTCTTTGGTTATTTTCTTAATTACAAATTTTTTTGTTGGATATTATCCTTGCAAATGTCCCAAAAAAACTATAATTTGTAAATAATTAAGAACATACAAGTTACTTGGACATCAAAGCATATAGTAAATATCTAAGCACATAACACATATAGCCAAACAAAACAAACCAAGTGATGACAGATGAATGGCTGAGTTCTCCTGTGAATTTATTACCAAACGATCAGATCCTTTGATCATTGTCATTGTTGAATTCATATAGCACCTGAAAATTTTAAAGATTTTTATGAACGTAAACTCTCATTAATTAATTAAACTAGTTCAAATCAAACCTAATATAATCATTGAGTAATAACCTTATCAACCTCTCTAGTATCTGAATTGAACAGACTCCAAAGTTGCTCAACGTCTAACGTTGAAAACATTGAATTGATAAAAAAATTGTCTGCCTCATTGGTCGTAGTAGCTACGGGACCCATTCCATCTGCGACTTGGCTCTCTTCCAGCAGACTCTCCCACCACATACTCTCTCCATCCATTAGACTGTTCATAAACTTATCTTTGTTATATGTGATACTACCATCTTTGTTGCTTACTTCGCCAAGCTCAACTTCTTTTTGCCCGATAAGCTGGCTGCAGCGGTTGTATGATTGAGGTCGAGGCTTTATAACACTAAGTTTTTGGGCTGGTGAGGCAGCTGAACAAGTAATATATCTCTTTCTTGTTTTGCTAGTACAACACGGTTCTTGCTTCTTACCGAAATGAGTGGTCCAGTAATTCTTGACATCATTAGCGGTTCGACCAGGCAATCTACCAGCAATGAGTGACCACCTAAGCATGCATTTAAACGAATGGTAGATGACTTAGTAGTGGATCATTACATTATGTAAATAATTTAGATTTGTGTCTAAGGAATATAAACCTATTTCCTAAAAGCTTATGAAGGCGAAGGAGAAGATCAACTTCGTCCGAGCCAAATTTTCCTCTTTTGATACTTGGCTTTAAGTAGTTCAACCATCTTTCTCTACAGCTCTTACTGCATCGGTTTAACCCTACACAACCAATAATTGAGATGAACTCTATTAAGTATGCTTACTGTGAAGTGTGAACCAACAAAAGCCCATTCGTTAATTTTTTTTTTTATTTTAGATAAATAAGAAAATAAATGATTGGTTAAATTATGTGTAATATATAACATATACCAGCTCTTAAAGGAAGTTTGTTCCATTTGCCTTCTCCATATTTATCAATACATTGCCTCAAGAGACTATCTTCTTCAGCAGTCCATGCACCTTTTCTTAACCCTTCGGACGAACCCTCCATAGATCAAAGATAAATATTATTGCTATCGATCTAACTAAATTGTGTAAGAAATGTATAAATCAAGGGTCGAGAATATTGTGGCTTCACAAATCCTTGGATGACTTATAGCGAGTGTGAGTGTTTGAGGGGCTTGGGGAAGAGACGTGCGTGTCTGATATCCACATTTCAATTTTCTTTTTTGCCAAACTAGTTTTGTTCCGGTGACTAAGACTAGAGGATATCTTACAAATTTACATGTATAGGCAACTACTTATATAATAGGGAAAATGAATAAAGAATGTCTTATTTTTATCAAAAACATTTTTTAAAAGTAAGCATTTTCTAAGGGATTTAAAACAAAATGATTTAGATTGCTTCTATGCAGGCGTTTGGGTCATTTTTGTATCTTCTTGCAAAATCATGTTTTGGTCATTTTTGTATCTTCTTGCAAAATCACGTTAAGACTTAGACAGCTTTTTTTTTTGTTTGTCCAAAACCGAGCCCATTAAGAGTTGAACCTCTAGGAACCGAGCCCAGCAATATTCTTTCTTGGCCCATTCACCTAAGCTACCCTTAGATCCTTAGTACAAAGACTAAGACTATCGTCTAACTATCACAGTTATGGATATGCTTCATGGTTTTTTTTTTTTTTTTTTTTTTTATAAACCCTATCGGCTATCCGGTCGGTCCCGGTAGGAACGCACCGAGGTGCAACATAGTGGACTGTTCCACCGTGTTAACGGTTAGACTCTTACGGACTACCACTCTGCCTATCCCGAGTTTGGAATGCCTTCCGACTAAGTGCCAGGGGGTAGTCAGGCCGCCTGCATTTCTGGCTACCAGGTAAACCAATTGGGCCAAAGCCCAACTGACAGACTTGCCAAACAAATGTGTTTTTGTTTCCAGGGAGAATCGAACTCAGGTTTGGGAGTTTCACCCTTTCCCAAAGCTTCCTCTGCCACTAGACCACGGATGCTTGGGCAATATGCTTCATGGTTACGGTTATGGTTCATTGATCATGGGTATTTATATGGTTCGTGGTTATGGATAATGGACTATGGTTTATGGATAATTCATACTGATTACGAGCTTGATTATGGTAATGGATAAAACGATTTGCTTAATTCATGTTAATTTATATTGTGATAAAAAAAAAAAATGGTATGTGTAGTTAGACTTAGACACGGTAGGTAAAGGTTTTTTTCTTTTTTTTTTTTTTTTTTTTTTTTTGAAAATAACTTATATTAATATACCCAACTACCTAAATGGGCTTGGGCCAAGGCCTACACAGAAAATCGAAACAGTTACAAAAATGGTTAAACGGAAAACTCGCCGGAAAAATCAAAAAGGCTCGAATCCTGTTGATCATCTGCCGCAAAGAGACCGGAACCTTAGATCCGGCGAAATCAAGACCACAGCTTCGTGGAAGCCTCAAAGGAGCTAGAACACAGCCGAGAGATTTCGGTTCCCGACCACACTCGCCTTCCTCCGACGAACCAAGCCCGCCACAGATCTCCCAGAAAGCTAGCCCCTCCGACAGCAGGTTCGACGACGACGAATCCCGACCTAGCAACCCGACGTACCTGGATTTATCCCCAATTTTCTTAAACCAAACCTTTCCGATTAACCAGAGCCAATAAAACTTCAATCCGGGCTTGTGGATGCCAGAAGCGGCAGATCCAGAAGATGGTGGCTCAACCAAACCTCTGAACCCAGAACCCGCACCAGCCATCTAAGCTCCGAGCCACCGGAACTACCGTTAACCATCTAAGCTCCGAGCCACGGTAGGTAATGTTACACGGTGGATGGTCTAATATTATCTGTTATAGTGGATGGATGTGATCGACCTGACCAAGTATCTTTGTACTCACACTCTCCCCATGTAAATCTTAGTGCGTGTTCTACCTTATGGTGTAAGTGTCTAGAACGCGAGACGAAGAATTTCATGGGATGGCTTTAACGGATTTGTGTGTTATTAAAGGATTTAAGCTTTTTAGATTTGGATAAAATAATTATTGCGTTTGAACATTATGCAACGTAGTATTTTAAGTATTTTGAGAATTTTAATGTTTTGGTATTAAGAAAATCGACAAAGGCAGTGATATTTCAGAGATTCTAATAAATATTTGTATAGTTTTAGACTAAACTAGTTAAGGAACAAAAACGTTAGAGGCCATGGATGAAGGGCATCAGGATTTTACAGATGGAGCTGGCCCAAAGATTCATGATGCCTAAAGCCCAACAAAATTTGATGCCCATTTACAACAAGTAAAAATAAAAAAATGTTAAAATCTTCGTTTGCCAGGGATCGAACCCACGACCATTAACCTTCAGACGTCCTAAATACCACTAGACTACAAGAAGCTTTTAATATTTTGATGCCTTTTAAAATAAATATACGATTTGTTGCCTAAAGCATCTGTTTACTGGGCTTTAGGTCTAGGCCGGCCGTGGATGGAATCGTTTGCTACATTAGCATATGTGGTCAAAAGTAGTAGAACGAATTTGTTGTCTATAAATAGTACCTGATCGTTTGTCGGCGAATAAAGTTTATATATAAGAAATAAGCTCATAAAAGCGGTAAGATACATCGTACAGAAGTCCCAGTTTTGTCCATCTCTTCTTTTTGTTTTTTTTTCTTGATTTTCATTTTGGACCCATCAAAGAGACATTTCGTTATTTCTGATTGCTGTCAAAATATTTTCTTTCGAGTATTTATAATTTAATGCTGTTTCCTAAAAAAATTTTAATTTCTGTAGACCAAATTATACCATGGAAAAATCAGATGAACGAGACTTAAAGACATACAAGTCTGATTAAATTGAAGAGAAGCTGATAAAAATGATAGACAAGAACGTCCGGAATCGATTAAGTACGATCCGCAGTGGAGGCAACACCAGATACGCAACGGGTATATAAGTCTGGTTTGCCACAAGGAATTTTCAAAAATAATTTCTTTCCGTTTTGATTTATGAGTCTTTTTTTAAAAAACTGTCTGCATTAAGCTGTAACAAACGTTATTTTTTTTTTGAATATATTTAACATTAAATTCAAAAAAAAAAAAAAGACATACAACTACAAAATTATTTGCTTTTGATAAGTAGAAAAGTATTCAAAAACAAAATTTTATATGATTGTTTTCAGAGTATCTCCTGAAAAAATAAAATTCACAAGCAACTTTTTTTGTGGCCTAAAATTAAAATGTGGCAGAACGATTATACCCTCTAGCAAAAGGAATATATGGCTTAAAACAAGTTCAGCTAATGATATTTTCTAAGAATATCTGGTCCCAAAAATATATGTATTATTGACATGAGTCCAATCTTTCATGCAGGACCATTTTTTATTTTATGTAAAAGTGATGCAACGGTAATTGTCAAATGTATAGTACTTGGTGACTGTTACATTTTATTTTGGGTTTGAGTGCCGTTTAGCTTTGAAAGAATTATGCGCTCAACTTAAACCAGTATTTAGGGGAAAAACCGTGTGAACAAGATTGCACCATCTCGGAATGATGAAATATGTTTGTTGATGGAACGAAACCGAAGATGTCATGGAGCAGTTGTGATGTCAGTAGAAAGGATAGTGAGCATCTTCGATAAACCGGTTCGCGATAAAATCATCTACATATGTGGCCAAGAAGATCGCCGGTACGATGCTCTCGTAATGGTCTTGTTTGATACCGGAAGGCGGAAACTAAGCTGATAGGACTATTTCCACTCTTCATTTTAAACTCTTTCAATGTTTTCAAAACATTTTAAAATAATAACATGTTATAGTAAAAAGTCTAATGTTTAATGAGCATCGTGAGCTGGAATTGTCAGGGTATGGAACGGTCTCAAGACCTGATAATTCACCGCCTCAAGGAATTGCGTAAAACACTCTTCCCTGAGATGTTGTTTGTGATGGGGACAATGCATGGTAGTGATGTTCTAGTTGATTTGCAAGAGACTCTTGGTTATGATAGGGTGTATACAGTGGAACCTGAAGGTAAGAGTGGCGGGTTGGCTTTGTTTATTAAGGCTGGTGTTACAGTGGATCTGAGGTTTGTAGATAAGAATCTACTAGATTTTCATGTACAGTTCGGTGCGGTTTCTTGTTTTGTTTGTTGTATTATGGTGATCCTATTTTCAAGAAGAGACTTCTCAATTGGGAAAGGATGAGCAGAATTGGGGTTGGAAGAAGAGACCCTTGGTGCATAGTTGGTGACTTCAATGATATTCTGCATAATGGAGAAAAGATTGGCGGTCCAAGAAGAAGTGAGAATGTCTTCAAACCATTCATTGATATGCTGACTGCTTGCAACATGGTTGAGCTCCCTAGTCAAGGTAATAGCTTCACATGGGCGGGAAGACGTTATGATTTATGGATAAAGTAGATTGGATCGATCCTTTGGAAACAAAGAATGGTTTTCCCTCTTTCCCGTTTCTAATTAGTATTTTTTGGATCTTCGGGGATCTGATCATAGGCCGGTATGGATAAAGCTCACTGCTTCACTGGATAGTTATAGAGGGCAGTTCAGATTTGACAAGAGGCTGTTATTCAAACCAGATGTGGAAGAGACCATTTTTCTTGCTTGGAATTCAACTGCTAGCAATAGGATTGATGATGTTGCTCAGAGATTAAGGGTTTGCAGGAAGGCTTTAAGCTCTTGGAAAAAGACTAACAATCTGAATTCTAAAGACAAAATCAATCAGTTGGAGAATGTTCTGGAAGTGGAACAATCTTCTCTTTTTCCTAGGTTTCTTCTGGTTTATAATCTTAAAAAGGATCTGGCTCTAGCTTATAATGAGGAGGAAGACAGAAAAGCAAGGATAAATGGATGCATTTTGGGGACAGAAATACGGGTTTCTTTCATGCATCAGTTAAGAATAGTACAGCCAAGAAAAGGATTGATCTCTTACTGGATGTTAATGGGAATGAGCAAAAATCTGAGGGTGCTAAGGGTGAGGTTGCCTCAGCCTATTTCAATACTCTCTTCTCATCTGCTAACCAGGCTAGCTTCAATCACTGGTTTTTTTATTTCCCCTCTAAGGTCACAACTGAAATGAATTTCAGCCTCATTCTCTCAGTTACTAAGGAAGAGGTAAAGGAGGCAATGTTTTCTATTAAACCATCTAGTGCTCCCGGACCGGATGGCATGCCAGCTCTTTTTTTCAACATTATTGGTATATTGTTGGAGACCAAGTGGTGAAGGAGGTTCAGCTCTTCTTTTTTAATGGTGACTTCCCTGAAGAGTGGAATTATACCCATCTCTGTTTGATCCCCAAAGTCCCACACCCCACTGAGATGAAAAATTTGCTTTCCATTAGTCTTTGATCGGTACTCTACAAAGTAATTTCCAAGATTCTAGTGAAGCGCCTCAAGCCTCTACTTCCGGGGTTAGTCTCTGATTCTCAGTCAGCCTTTGTAGCAGACAGATTAATTTCTGACAATATTGTTGTCGCACATGAGATTGTTCACAATCTGAACTCCAAACCAGTATTTACGGCTAAGTATATGACGGTAAAGACTGACATGTCTAAAGCTTTTGATAGGGTAGAATGGAGTTACCTAAGGTCTCTTTTGCTTGCATTAGGGTTTCATCTGATGTGGGTTAATTAGGTGATGAAGTGTGTCTCCTCAG